AGAGGGAGAGAGAGAAAGAGAAACAACAAAACAAATATACATGTATATATATATAGAGAGAGAGAACCAGACAACTTAGGTAAATAAATATTAAGAAAGAGAGAGAGAGAGAGAGAAAGAGAGAGAGAGAGAGAAAAAGAGAGACAGAGGAAGTAGAGAGAGAGAGAGAGAACCAAAAAAAAAAAAGGAACACAAAATTCCCCAATCCGTGCTTGCACTGAAGAAGTCCTAATGAAGATTGAACAATTTGGCCACAATTCCGGACCGATTTCGGTGGGCGGCCGGGTTCCCAGGATCCCGGTTCCAAGTTTCTGGGGTCTCGGTTCCGGGCCGATTTCGGTGGGCGGCGGGGTTGCTAGGTTCCCAGGTTCCTGGTCAATCTTCTCATCGATCGGTCTCACCATCGATCTCATTACCCACTTCTCAATCGATCCCACTATCGATCTCACAATCGATCTCACTATGGATCGCACAGTCGATCTCACTATCGATCTCACGAGCGATCTCACGATCGATCTCACGATCGATCTCATTGAATCGACTTCACTATTGGTCTCACGATCAACCTTACAATCGTCCTCATTATCGATACCATCATCGATCTCACAATCGATCTGAATACCCATATGACTAATGTTCAAACCATCCACTGATTGGGGGTTATTTCTGGTGCAATTCTGAATACTACTCAACGCGAGGACACACAACCATTTCTTGTGTCGGCAGATGGCTGTGATCGGTTATCCTGCAGCATGAAGCAGCGACCAACAACGACTAGCGCCAACAACAACGACAGCTGCAACTGCCTGCACCAGAAAACAAATAAACGCACCCAGCCCCCTCCCGCGCGAAGCGAAGCTTTGTGTGAACGCTCCATACACAAGAACACACCGCCAAATATGCAAGATCTGCGCTGCCCTCATCTCCGCTGTGCCTCCCAGGACACCCAAGACAGTGGCGATGATTGCGCACTTCGCAGCCCCCGAGGGAGCCGCGAGGTCTCGAATGGATCTGCACTGCCCTCATCTCCGCCGTGCCTGCGAGGAGTCCACGCAAGTGATGGCAATTGCAACTTTCGCAGCCCCCAAGAGAGCCGCGAGGTCTCCAATGGGTCTGCGCTGCCCTCGCCTCCACCGTGGCCCCCAGGAGCCCACGAAACTGGCGACACATGAGCAGTTCGCAGCCCCCGAGAGAGCCGCGAGGGCTCAAATGGATCTGACCTGCCCTCACCTTCGCCGTGCCTCCCTGGAGCCCACGAAACGTAGTGACGATTTCTGCTTTCGCGCCCCAAGGGAGCCGCGAGGTCTCAAATGCATTTGCGCTGCCCTCACCTTCGCCGTGCCTCCCAGGATCCCACGAAAAAAACGACACGCGTGCAGCTCGCAGCACCCAGGGGAACCGCGAGGTATCGGCTTGGTCCGCGTGGCCCTCCGCCCCGCGGGATCTCCCATGAGCCCGCGAACGTGGCGACAGATGTGCAGTTCGCATCCACACGAGGAGCCGACGGTCTCAAATTGGCGCGCGTGGCCCACGACCCCGCTGGTTCTTCCACGAGCCCGCGACAGCAGCGACAATTGCGAAGCTACCCAGAGAGCCACGAGGTCTCAACTGGGTGAGCGTGGCCCCCGACTCCGCTGGACCTTCCAGGAACCCGCGAACCTGGCGACGGACGCGCAGCTCGCAGTCACCCAGGGAGCGGCGAAATCCGCCGATCCGGCGTGTGAGTTTCTGAGAGCGTGGGCTTGAGCTCGCTCAAGCTTCGCTCTGCAGGGGAGGGGGTCGGGGGGCGCAAACGACGAAAAAATTGACACGTGAGGGGGGGGGAGGAGAGAGGGGGGGGGCTCGCTCAAGCTTCGCTCTGCAAGGGGGGGGACGCCAACGACGAAAGAATTGACACGCGAGGGGGGGACAGGAGAGAGAGGGGGGCGGGGAGGGGGGGGGGGGGGGGGGGGGGGGGGGCAGAAAAGAGGGGGGGAAAGGAGAGAGGGAGGGGCGGGGAGAGGGGGGGGGGGCAGAAGAGAGAGGGGGGGGGACAGGAGAGATGGAGCGGGGGTGACGGGGAAAGGAGAGGGGGGGGGGACAGGAGAGAGAAGGGGGGGACAGGGCAGAGGGGGGGAGGGGGGGGAAAGGAGAGAGGGGGGAGGACAGGAGAGAGAACATTTGTTTTTTCCCGGTATGCGACTGCACAGGCAAGCTTCCGTATAGATTGACAGGCCGGCGGGAGAAACAAACAAGGCAAAAGGACCCACCCACAAGCGCTGCTGCTACGAGCGGCGCCGCGAGTGCCAGTCTCAAGATCAACGCGAATATTCGCACTGTAAAGCAGAAGCTACAAGCATAAAGCGCACTGCAGTAGAGCCCCCTGCAGCGCGCAGCCGCGAAGCCACGCGGACGGCAGGGAAAATAGCCACGGCATCAGGCAGAGCTCGCTCGGAAATGTCTAGCTCACCGTCCGCAACCGCGGAGGCACTCGAAATCGAATTGCGCCGAAATCATCGCAACCTCATCGGCCTCGACCCCAGGAAGCAGCCCCAAAAGACAGGCTGCCTCAACCGAGGGAGGCCCACAAGGTGAAGTGGGAGGCACCGAACCAAGACCGCCATCGACGTCAATCGCACCAATGCAAGCGATCGCAACCTGGGGCGCCTCAACCGAAGGAGGCTCCTCCGCAACACGATCAACATCCCTGCTAAGTGACTGGCTGAAGGTCGGCATGGCAGTGCGAAGACCTCGCCACTCCATAATGTACCGTCGTGGCGAGCCTCGGCAACTTGAGGCCCAGCCCAACATCCAACACCGCGATCAAGGCGATCCTCAAAAGGAGGCTCAGCCGTGCAAACATGATGTTGTGATTCCTCAACAACTGGGATGCTCATATATCAGCAATGCCGACGTTGTGATGCACATACCCACTCACCGTTGATAATGAAAGGGGTGCCTCAACCGAAAGAGGCAGGCCCTGAAACACTTCCTCCACAGGTGTGCCATGGCAGTGCAAAGTCGCAACTGTAGTGACATCCTCGAGAGCCTGAGAAGGAGTCAAAAAGGCGAGCCTTACCCAAGGAAGGCTCAGCCCCAAGAGGGAAATGTGGACACGCTGAGCGAGCCCCTCCACAAGGCTCAGCCAAAACCGCATGATCCACCAAAACTGCATTATCATGGCGTTCGCCAGATGTGGTCTCAACCACGCCATCTGGAGAAATTGCCACGGAAAGGCCTATTGTGTTCTTTTTGGCCCGTCGCCTACGCCGAGAGCGATCTCCGATGAAGTACTCCTGCACCGTCACCTCCTCCGCCTCGGCGGCGTGCGAACCAGCCTGGCAGGCATCGGCGGGGGCGGCACGTTCGCCATCCGTGGCCTTGCCTTCGGAAGTGGCGGAGGCGGCGGCGGTGGAAGCAGTGTAACCACACCCTGAGCCGACACGGCTTGAGCCAAAATGGCTACGGGGGACAGGAGAGAGTGGGGGGGGGGAGGGGGAAAGGAGAGGGGGGGACAGGAGAGACGGGGGGGACAAGAGAGAGGGGGGGAGGGGGGGTCAGGAGAGAGGGGGGGGAGAGAGGGGGGGGGACAGGAGAGAGGGGGGGGGGAACAGGAGAGAGGGGGGGGAGGGAAAGGAGAGAGGGGGGGGCAGGAGAGAGAAGGGGTACAGGAGAGAGGAGGGGAGGTGGGGAGGGGGGCCGAGATCATCACCATCTCTATCACCATCACCATCACCATCACCATCATCACATCACCATCATCATCATCATCATCATCATCATCATCATCATCATCATCACCATCACCATCACCATCGCCATCGCCATCAGCATCAGCATCAGCATCAGCATCAGCATCAGCATCATCAGCATCAGCATCAGCATCAGCATCACCATCACCACCATCACCATCACCATCACCACCACCACCACCACCACCACCACCATCACCATCACCATCACCATCACCATCACCATCACCATCACCATCACCATCACCATCACCATCACCATCACCATCACCATCATCATCATCATCATCATCATCATCATCATCATCATCATCATCATCATCCGGAGCGTCCCGGATCGGCGGCACTGGCTGGAGGCCACTACAATATCACATGAGTGCGCGTGACCCCGATTCTGCTGGATCTCCCAGGAGCCCGCGAACGTGGCGACAGATGTGCAGTTCGCATTCACCCAGTGAGCCGCGAGGTCCCAATGGCTCCGCGTGGCCCCCAACTCCGGTGGACCTCCCAAGAGCCCGCGAACGTGGCAACGGTCGCGCAACTTGCAGCCGCCCAAGGAGCCGCGAGGTCTCAAATGGGTCCGCGTGGCCGCCGACTCCGCAAGACCTCCCAGGAGCTCGCGAACGTGGCAACGGTCGCGCAATTCGCAGCCACCCAAGGAGCCACGAGGTCTCAAATGGGTGCGTGTGGCCGCCGACTCCGCTGGACCTCCCAGGAGCCCGCGAAAGTGGCAGTCACCCAGGGAGAAGCGAGGGTCCAGCGGAGTCGGGGGCCACGCACATTATGTTCGTGGCCCCCGACTCCGCTGGACCTCCCAGGAGCCCGCGAACGTGGCAACGGTCGCGCAATTCGCAGCCACCCAAGGAGCCACGAGGTCTCAAATGGGTGCGCGTGGCCGCCGACCCCGCCGGACCTCCCAGGAGCCCGCGAAGCTGGCGACGGCTGCGCCGCTCGCAGCCACCCGTGGAGCAGGGCAGGAGGCGGCAGGAGGAGGGGGGGGAGGAGTCACGACCGCGGTGCTCTGTCCACAGCGAGAACCCACCACCGGAGGGTTGGGAATTATGGCGCACCACCACGAGGGATCCCTCCAGAGCGCGCGCAGATCGGGGAAGCACATGTGAAGATCCGCCCTCGTCACTGACAGCCTCTCGGTGCACCTCCACCATGACGGGCTGCAGCGTGAAGCTGAAGATCCACGCACACATGCAAAGCACGAAGACTTCCCTTCAGCATGCTCTCTGATTACTCTGCTTGCAAATGAAGAATGCGTCACCAAACGGTGTTCTGGCCGTCGACGCGGGACTTGATTTCGTCCACGACATCCTCGCAACCTGCAAGTCACATTAGAACCACAGCCGTGCAACTGCCAATTGCGAGGTGCGCGCTGTGCTTGCGACAATTCGAAATCTCACCGCAATCGTGCAACGAGTCCAGACTCGAACTACTCTATACGGACGATGTGGGCCTTCATGCCGCAATTATTACGAATCGTTAAAAGCACAAACCCCACGGGAGGAACATCAGACTTAGGCGAATGGAAAGATCTGTCGAAATCGCTACCAGGCAATATGTGCTGCACGCACAGCACAAAGCAACACTGCCAGCAATCGCGCCTCACAGGTGGCACTGAAAGCGCGCCAACCAAGGAGAACCACCGCCTGCTCCATCGTACGGACGCAGCCGTGTCCCGGGCGCGTGCTGCTGCGAATGGGCGAGAAACGCCCCCAATCCTCGATCCTCTATACCTAGAGATCGGACGTCATGATTTTTTCAATACGGGGTCCATGGAAGTCTCGACCCATTCCCCAGGACGGGTTTTTTATCCTGAGTCGTGTTGACGGTCCCGGGGCCCGGCGACGGCCCCTAGAGGCTGAAAATTGCGTCAAACCTCCGTCTTGATCTTTTCAATACGTTAGATCTCAATCCTCGATCCTCGACCCCCCTCGACTCGTCCTCGATCCTCGACCTCGACCCTGCCCTGCCCCTGCCCTGCCCCTGCCCCTCGATCCTCGACGCTCGATCCTCGACACCCCCCGATCCTCGACACTCGATCCTCGATCCTCGACCCTCGATCCTCGACCCTCGATCCTCGACCCTCGATCCTCGACCCCCTCGATTTTGGTACTCGGCCCGGCCCCTCGATCCTCGACCCCCCTCGACTCCTCCTCGATCCTCCCCGACCTCTCGATTCTCCCCCTTACGACCCAGGGCTGAACCTAAACGGTGTTTTTCGTTCTCGTTTTGTGTTCGTTTTCCCCCGCTCTTGTCTTCAGAGACCCCGGGGACGCCCTGGTTGGGGGGTTCCAAAACAGAGTGGTTGCAGACACGGCGGCGCCCTCGAACTCCGCAAAGACCTCTTCCAAAGAAGGCGGGGAGGGGTGGCCGCTGAGAAGTCTGCTCAGGAGCCTCCAGGCCCTTCGAAGGAGGCCCCTGCCATCCCAAGAAGGCGGGGAGGGGTGGCCTCTGAGAAGCCAGGGGGCCTCCTTAGAAGCCCTCTCGGCCTTCTTAGAAGCTCCGGAACACTGCGAGACTCCATGGCCCCGCCCGGCCACGCCATCCACGCACACGGTCCTCGCCCACCTCCCACACTGAAGGGGACCCAGGGCACACAAATAAATACACACACACATAAAAATATCCCCCATATGTTCCCATATTTTCTCGGTGTTTGTCTTCCCCCCCACTTCCCATATTTCCCACTATTTTCCTGGGAATCGACGATTCATTGTGTCTGTGTGTTTCTTCCCCTCCTCCCACACGCCCCCTCGGGGGGCGGCCAGAGAGGGGAGGGCGTCCGAGAGAAGGGGGGGCGCAGATCGTGCCCCCTGTCTCGGCACGCGCGCGGCCCAGGGGGGGGGGGGGCGGGGACGCATTTGCTCTCCGATGCGGCAGGACATCGGGGGAGATATCATGGCCCCCACCATGATGTCCAAAACAATGGGCAAAATAAGTATTTGCAAGTTTGTGACTCGTGTGTGTGTATGTTTGGCGCACCACCCTCGCGTTTGGCGGGCTGCTCTTGACTGCATGTGGGACGCTTTTGGCGCACCACCCAACTTTTTATGTGCTCTTTTGCCTACGCGTCCTCAGGATACACGGCCCAATGACTGACTGACCATGATGTCCACCCGCCCCCAGTCCTCACACACCTTTCCAGAGGCCTCCCAAATGGGGTCGAAGTACATGGGGTCGGAGGATCGCGCCGCACCGCTGATACATCGGCGATGTCGGCGATGCACCGGCGATGCATCGTCGACGTCGGCGATGCACCGGGGACGTCGACGTGAAGCAGATCGGGCTCCACATTGAGCCGCATCGGCGATGCGGCGCATTCGTTAGACTCTTGCACGCCCCCAGCCCACGCTCGTTTGGGGAAATCTAAAGGTACCGATAGCGCTACTCCCCGGACCTCTCCCAGGGTGCGTTCTGACCAGGATTTCAAGGCGAATCCGACGGTGGCGACGAGGGCCTCCGAGGAGGCCCAAACAGGGGAAAACGAGGAAAGGGTGGAGGTATGGGTACCAACTCCTCCTCTGATCGTTTTAGCCCAAGGCCGACGCCTGCTGCGGCCGTCGCCTCCAGCTTGCAGGACGCGTGGATGAAGGACGCGGAACCGGGGCACCTCCGCCGCACCCGCCCGGGCGGCCGTCCTCCGCATCCCCCCCAGGCCTTATCCCCGCCCGCCTGCGGGGGAAGCTTCCCCCCTCCGTGTCCTGGGTCATCCTCCTCCTCCTCCTCCTCCTTCTCCTCCTCGTCCTCCTCCTCCTCCTCCTCCTTCTCGTCCCTCGTCCCTCGTCCCTCGTCCCTCCTCGTCCCTCATCCCTCCTCCTCCCTGCCTCCTACTTCCTCCATCCTCCCTTGTCCCTCCTCCGTCCCTCATCAGCCATTTCCAGGTTTCGAGCTGATTTGCGAACCTTTGGTCCAGCGCACTTGGAAGTAGCGCCAGCTGGACCGAGCCATCCCAGTGTTCTCATGAATCGAGGCGGCAATGGGCCTCCGTGGCAGGCGGCCCAGGGCCAGGCGGCGCGGCCAGGCACTGCGTCTGAGGAAGGTGGGGGGCTGGCGCAGGTAGTAGCCTTGATGGCGAGAGTTGCGGCTGCCACGACAGTGGACACCCGAACAGTCCTGTCCTTGAATTAGAGATGCGTGTGAAAAGTGTAAAGCATGTTCTAACAATGTTTCAAACATGTGCTTACACATTTAAAACATGGTTGAATCATGTTTCAGACATCTGGAAATTATTCCGCAGCACGCTTCCTCTCCATTGATCGACTTCCACAAGGCGAGAGGTGCTCTCAAAGCTATAATAGATGGGGCAATGGATCGCGGGCGACTGTGCTGCGGACGCGGCAGCCCTGGCCCTTGCCAGGGCGGCCCGGGGTGAGTGTATGTTCCTTCCCCTCCTGTGTAAGCATGAAGCAACCCCTTCCATAGCCTCAGGGCGAGAAATGGTTGGGGGATAGCGTGAAATGCGGAGGGAGGTGGCATGCGAGCAAATGAGCCAGGAAGGAGTGAAAGTTGGAGGTTGGTGGAGCCATCATGCGCTCTCGCTCCCGTGTGAGAGAGCCCCGTAGGGGCCCATTGTCGCTCATGGGGGTGAGAAAGCACCGCAGGGATCCACGTGACACGTCGGGCGAGCTGGACTGCGCGGGTGAAAAAGCCCCTCGGGGGCCCACAGCGATCGTGGTCGCTGTCGACGTACTCGAAGTATGCTGCTGCGTAGGAAGGCATTTGCGTCGTGCTACCGTTGCTTAATAGGAGGAGGAGGTTCCACACGACCAGCTGCGCTGCTGCCGATGCAGCCAGCGAGTGCGTGCATTTAGGTGAAAGAGCAGTGGCAAGACTTGGTATGGGAAGATCGCAGTTGGTGGTCTCCTCTGTCGTGGAACAAAATTGGCAGAGCGCGGCCATGGGTGGCCGCGGCGCACTGAGGGGCCGCTACGAGGCCACTCCCATCCTGAGGCGTGGCCTCAAAGTTGTGGGCGATCATCGGGGGCGCGCAAACTTGGACTAGCAATCCCTGGACCTGGCGCGCGGTCGCCGAACCCATGGATCGGGGGAGGTCCCCACCCCAGCATGCGGCCGGCGCCGCTGGCTCGGCGGCGGAAATCCGCGACTTCCATGGGAATCCACGCCCCCCTGATCCATGTCTGCGATCGCCCGAGACGAGAGGGGAGGCTCCCGATTCGTCGTAGACTGGCCGTGCTGGTACTTAGGCGACGGCGTATGGCGGCCAGGGCGTCTACGGGCCGTGGGCGCCGCGGCAGGTGGGCGCGTCGACGGCCTGCGCCTGCTGGCTGCGCTGGCGCGCGGTGTTATAATGCCCTCCTCCCTGGGGGGTGTTCTGAACATTTTCTCAGGGTGAAATCCATATGGGTTTTGCAACTCGGAATCAATCCGTCTTGTGATTCAAGCCTCGAACATCTGTTCTCAGATCTCAGAGAACGGCATTTCAGATCTCACCCTTTGCCCTCCACCCAGAGAAAATGCTCGGGGTGTTGGTCGGTACACCTGCCCCTGCGGGCCGGATGCAACGGCCAGGGTTGTGAGCAGCAGTGGCTGCGTCGCGTTCGGTGATCGTGGTGCCGCTTGGTGGCGTCACTGGTCGTGGTCCGAGTGGGTGGGCCCGCGCCGCGAGCCCTGGTCGGGCCCCCGCCGCTGCCGGTCTTGTCCCCCCCCCGTGGCGGTCGGCTCCTCGCGCTGCCCTGTGCTCCGGTCGGGCCACGCCGCGTGGTGTCTTAGGACGTCTTCCACGCTTTTGAGCCCGACGACGGTGTCACTGAGCTTCCGCTCTGCGTTCGCAAGTGCCGTGGGCGGGCTTCGGTTGGTGGCGCTGTGGCTCCAGGCGTGGGCCGGCACTCCCGCCCGCGTTGGGCTGCTTGAGGTTTTGAAGCCAGTTGGTGGCAGCCTGCAGAAGGCTGCGGCTCGTCTGGCTCGGAGGTGGCGTCGTGGGGCTGTGGGTCCTGGGAATTGATCAGGTCCTCCTCCTCCTCCTCCTCCTCCTCCTCCTCATCATCATCATCATCATCATCATCCGTGTGCTCATCATTCATGCTCCTTCTCATCCTCTTCTTCTTCTTCTTCTTCCTCCTCCTCATCCTCATCATCATCTTCATCCTCGTCCTCCTCCTCCTCCTCCTCCTCCTCCTCATCATCATCATCATCATCATCATCATCAGCAGCATCAGCATCAGCATCAGCATCAGCAGCATCACCATCACCATCACCATCACCATCACCATCACCATCATCATGAGCAGCACCACCAT